CTGCTGAGCAGCAGTGCCGTCCCTGCCTCCAGATCTCTGCGGCTCTTGCTCTGGTTTCTGCCCCAGAATTCTTTCCTGCTGCTTCTCCGCTTCCCTTTTCAGACGCACGGGCTGTCTTTGCAAAGCACCTTGCCCACGGCGTGGTTTGGGTGGAGGCTCCACCGTTGACTTCCAAATGAAAATGGGGTGCCTGGTTTTGTTGTTGGTTTTTTTTTTTCAGATTTCGGTCAGATATAATTCCAGGCTGTCTGTCTACCTGCGTGACTTGAAAACTGTGCGGTGGCTGCCAACCTGGTGGTTTCCGTGTCAGTGGGGAGGAGGAGAGCCGAGGGCTCTCGGGTTCAAGGCATCGTGTGTTGGGCAGCACATCCCCAGCTCGGGATGGGGGTACCTGCTGCATCCCCTGGGGCAGGTTCCCACATTTCTTCATCTATTTATTTTTTATCTATTTATTTTTTAGGGACAGAACCAGGGGGAATGGTTGCAAGTTGCAACAGGGCAGGTTTAGGCTGGACATGAGGAAGAAATTCTTCACGGAAAGAGAGGTCAGACCAGACGGCCTGGGGAGGGGGTTGAGTCGCCATCCCTGGATGTGTTCAAGTGTCGCTTAGATGTGGTGTTGGGGGATATGGTTTAGGGGTGAGCTTGTAGTGTGGGGTTAATGGTTGGACTCGATGATCCCAAGGGTCTTTTCCAACCTCAGTTGTTCTATGAGTCTGTGATTCTATTTCTGTGCCCCTGTGGGAGGGGGGAAAAAAAAAAAAGTAGATACAAACCTACTCGTTGCTTTTTTTTAATGCTTTTGAGTATTTGAGAGGAAAGATTCTGCATTATCGAAGGGCAAGTCTGCAGGGCTAGCATCCTCCCACCTGCTTTGATGGAGTTGGCCTTTCCAATGCCTAAAGCAACAGGGTCTCCAGGAGCCCCGTGTGCCCCCGGCTGGCTCAGGGAGCTGCTCGGGGGGAAGCCGCGTGGTCCAGCAGGCGGGGGCCCCCCCCCCCACCAGCAACTCCCGGGC